AGTCACATGTTCAATGAAACAAATAAAAACATTTTCCTCAAAAGACTGTTGAGAAGACTGAGACCATACATGTAAAGCTCATAGAGCAGTCCTGTAAGCTGTGTGTGCTTCATAAGAATTGGAAATAGAATGGAAATCGAAGAAACCGACTAGGAACTTATTTGTAGAGTTCATTTGGAAGGAACCTGTGCTTTGATTCTAGCCTCTAAATGGTGAAAATGAAGGGCTGGGAAGGAGAGCAAGAAGGAGGCCTGACAGTTTGCAGTAAAGGGAGATTAGCGACACGATTTATTCTCTCTCTTTTATTCACTCCATTTTTTTATTTTCTTGACCACAGTTGGCATATCACAGAAGAGAGAGGACGTGTTCCTATTTCTCTGGACTTCTTTTATCTTAGCAATAAAGCGTATTGGTAATATGTTTGACAAGAAGCAGATCGCCACACCAGCTGTGCAGGGAGACAGGAGACCTGGGTTCTCACGATGCCATCCCATGTGACCTTGGCTCCTTCTCAAAAGTCAGGCTGCAGCTTCTCCATCTATGAACGTTGGTTTATAACAGTACCTACAGAACTCCCTCTCCTGCGACATTGCTTTTAGAAAAAGCTAACAGGAGTGCAAGGTTCAAATACATTTATAAAACATTTTAATTATATTTGCTTCGTGGAGCTTTAAAATGAATGTCAGTATGTTAACAGCTTGAAAAACTTCTGTAGAAAAAATGTCTGTGGAATTACACATATCCCATCATCTCTCAACTTAACATGCGTATAGAGCTTATATTTATTCCACAGAGCCATGTGCCAAGAAGGCACAGGCTAGGAAATACTGGATGAGGCCCTTCCAAAACTTCCCAGTGCTGCCACACCTCTGTCTGTAATGTGGTGATGTTGCCAATGGTCTCTGAGTGGTACAGTGACAGAAGTAGCTTGTGTAAGGGTTTTCTCTTACCTCTGCGTGTTGCCCCAGCAAGAGAGGAGCAGAGAACATTTAATATTTTCAACGTGAGAATGCAAGAAAGAGCCCTGGAGGCAAGGCTTAATTGCTGGATTTTGAAAAAGGGAATAAAAGTCCTTCCCTGCAAATGTCAAATGCATCCTGCAGATATTTTCCCATCACAGAAGGTCTCTGTGTTGGGCAGTTTTCAGAACCTAGGCAGGCAGGTGAAAGGGGATCTCTCTAATTTATTTTCATTTCCCCTGGTAATAACACTCTTGGGCAACATTCAGCTGTCTTCTCTGCCAGGCTGTCAGCCTGCAGCTCTCTTGCTAAGCGTCCCTTGAGCTCAGAGAAGGAAGTCCAGAGAACTGGGTGCTTCCCCTCAGTGAAGAGCTGCTACTGATATTACTTCTCCTCACCTTTACTCCAAGGGCTTGTTGTTTTAAAATGAGAAATAGGCTGCGAGAGAAGACCTCTCCAAGAAGGTGAAACAAATGGGCTTCGTTCAATCTGGAGGGTGATAAAATAACTGTCTGTGAGGGCCAAGAGAGGTTAGACAGGAGGGGGCTGTTTCTTCTCATTAGGAAATGGAAATCTACTCCTAAGGACTGACGTTAGAGGAAGAAGTATATTGGAGGTAAAATGTAAAAAGAAAGTGAAAAGACAACAAATATGAATGGAATGACTGGATGGGTGAGTGGGTGGGTGGGTGGGTGGATGGATGGATGGAAGGATGGATGGATGGATGAGTAGATGGATGCATAGAGGATGGAGACCATGTATCAACCCAATGGATAATTGACGATGTTCAACAGTGACAAAGAAAAAGTTTAGGGTAACAGGAAATTTGTTAGAAAATGTCATTCTCAGAACTGTGGCTTTTAAGCTAGCCTGACACACCAACTGCAGACACTCAATAATTAAAATATTGAATACTTAATAATAACATCTGCATTTTGTTGGCATATATATTATCTCATATATGTTATCTTGTTTTTTCTCTTATGGATTCTGTGAGTTAAGTATCATCTTTAGCATCTACATGTAATAAAATGGAAGCTCATATTCTGTTTATCGAAATTGGCGCTAATAACTGTAAGACATCTGTTTTACGAACTGTTAAGAAACACAAATCATGATTATTACAGAAGAAAACATATGACATATCTCAAATGCAGAAAAGGGTGAGGGAGGCAGCACGTCCAGAGGAGTGGGATGCTGTCACTGGGGCAATGTGTCCACATTCACTCGGCTGTGAGGGAGATCTGGGCTGCGAAGCTGGGGCTATGGAACCAGACCCTGCAGCCCTGCAGCATCATCCAATACACTTCTTCCTGGTCCCACCTGCCTCCCACTCTGCATCCTGTTTCCTGCCTCACACAACATCCTCTCTGGCTGACTTTAGAGGAAGAAGTATATTGGAGCTAAAATGTAAAAAGAAAGTGAAAAGACAACAAATATTAATGGAATGACTGGATGGATGGATGGACGGATGGATGGGGAATGGAGACCATGTGTCAACCCAATGGATAATTGTCCTGCTTCTGCCCTTCTATGTAACTTTCGGCTCCTCGTCCAGCCTCAGTGTGTAGTCACTTCTCACTTTATATCAGTTTGGAACCAAACCCCATGACTGATAATGACTGGGGATGATTAAAATGGAATATGTCACCCAGCTCCCCCAAAACCTACACAAGGGAATGACATTTAATAGAAAGCTAGCATTAGACATGAAAACCATTAAATATTCACTCCCACACTTACATATAAGCATCTATATCATACTTAATATGCTTAAGTATATTAATCATAGAAGTATACTCACATACTTAATTCTCTTTACATCTTAAATATAGATCCCAGAACATTTCAGGGCACATGAATGGATTATATTTGGACTCCCCACATCTACATTGAACTGGTCCTGTCAGTTAAAACTCCCATATGTGAGTGGGTCACAAGTGGCTTATGTAAGGCTTCACGAGGTTGCTCACGACTTCACTGCAACAGCTCAGAGATCTAACTGACACACAAACAGAATTCTTCTCAACAGTTGCTGATAATTCAGTTATGAATTCGTTTAGCCAATTAGCTAAATCTCTTAACAGTTTCCAGCTTTTGGCGCATCTTGGTTTTAAGCATTTTTACAGGTTTGGAACTACCACAGGAGCTCTAAGATTTGGGACAAGAAATGAACCGAAATCCATGTTCTCCTCTTTATGTCCTGCACAATTCTATAAACCTCCTTCCTTCCTCCTTGAGGACTCAATAATCTGAATTCTTTGCTTAAGTACCCACATCTTCTTCCACCAAGTCTACAGAAGTATTGAGGGGTAGTGAAAAGATCAAGGGGAATCCAACAGAGCCGTCTGCTAATTCCCTTGGTGATTGTGAGCAGATAAGGAGAACTCTCTAAACCTCAGAGTTACCACCTGTAAAATAGGACTAGGCATTCCTTCCTGGAGGAGCTGCTGTCATTACTCAACACCTAAAGTGCATGAGATGCCTGGCATGTGACAGGTGATCAGTAAGTGACACTGATGAATTTCTTCCTTGGGGCTGGGACAAAGAATCCGAGGTGTGAATGCTCCAGATTTGCATGAGGCTAGGATTGAGTCTCCTCCTTACAAACCAATTCGGGGTATTATAAAAGAAAATCTTTCATTTGTGGAAATCACTTGACTATCATTGGATCCAGTCAACCTTTGAGTTGGAAATTTTTGAATTAAAAGAACCTTCTTCCTCTCTCAAGCCACCACCCCACTGCTGTGCTCTCCTCTCAGCCCAGGCAAGGTTTACCTGCATCCTCAGCACCCTCTCCTCATGCCCTTGGCAACCTGGCTCTCACCCTCAACAAGCCTCTGCAGCAGCTGTCTTCCACATCATGAGGGGCCTCCTGATTCCCACAACCCATACAACCCATCATCCCTAACAGACACTGGGTCACTCCACTTGATGGACTAGCTCTCTCAGGCTCCCAGGGTGACTCAACTCAGATGGAGATCTTTGGCTGGCAGAATTTGGGGAGAACATATGGGGCCACAATGTTGGCTATGCCTTGGCAGTTAAGCAGTGTTTTTGTATTCCAATATTTTACTGAAGACCTTCTATGTGCTAAGCAATCTACTTATCTCTTACCATCCATTTTTTACATGAATTCACATCAGCTTGCAAGATAGTCCTTTGTAACCTTCTTTTTGTTGTGATGATGGTGGAGAGAGTTTCCAGGAGGCAAGACAAAGGAACTTTCAGTCTTCACTCTTTGTTCTGAAAAGCTCTTGCACATCTCCGCTTTGGGGAGAAACAGGTAGAATGCATTTCTGGCACCACCTACTCAGAGTTTGCACAGATATTGCAGGTTAAAGCCTCGACTCATAAGACTGCTCTCACTTCAGATACCAGCTTCAAGATTGAGGGCTCCCAGGCCACCCAGACTTCTGAACAACCGGCTGCAAATGTGGATGTTCCTACTGCCTCCTAATGTTTGATAATATGCTACAGCAGCTCACAGAACTCAGGGAAGCACTCTCCTTATGTGCCTAGTTTTATTGTAGCAAAAGGATACAAGCCTGAACCACTAAAAAGGAGACTGCATGGGGCAGCTCTGGAGGGTTCTGAACATGAAGCTTCCATGTCTTCAGGACGTTTCCCCTCCCAGCACAACTGCGTACATCACCAACCAGACAAACTCACCTGAGCCTCAGGGGCCAGATTTTCCAGCAGTTTAATTATATAGGCCTGCTGAATCATTGGCCACACGATTAAACTCAATCTCCAGTCCCCCTCCTCTCCTAGGAGGTCAGGCAGAGATCAGCTGGCTCAAAACTCCAGTCTCTAATCACATAGTCGTTCTGTCCAGCATGGCCTTTCTGAAAGTATTTTGGTGCCCACTTGAGTCACCTCATTAACATAAACTCAACTCAGGTGTGATCTGAGGGGTCTGCCATGAATAACAGACACATCTATCGTTCCAAAGACTTAGAAGACACCTGTGAGCAACTGGGGACAAGGCCAGCCAAATGCTTCATTATAAAACAGAAGACGAGTCGCATTGAGCACGGGCGGCGGCTGGGTGCAAAGTTGAGAGTAGTTCCTAGTCTGAGCCTTTCCGTCACTCTCCAGCATCACCAGTACCACGGACTCCACCCTGCCGCGGCCCCTCAGCGATGAGGTGCAGCTGCCACTCGACCAGCCATTCAAACTCCTCCCCACGACACACTGAAGCAGCGACGGCACAGCGGGAAGAATGGAAAATGTTTATAGGAGGCCCTGGCTGGGACACTACAAAGAAAGATCTGAAGGACTACTTTTCCAAATTTGGTGAAATTGTAGACTGCACTCTGAAGTTAGATCCTATCACAGGGCGATCAAGAGGTTTTGGCTTTGTGCTATTTAAAGAATCGGAGAGTGTAGATAAGGTTATGGATCAAAAAGAACATAAATTGAATGGGAAGGTGATTGATCCTAAAAGGGCCAAAGCCATGAAAACAAAAGAGCCGGTTAAAAAAATTTTTGTTGGTGGCCTTTCTCCAGATACAACTGAAGAGAAAATAAGGGAGTCCTTTGGTGGTTTTGGTGAGGTAGAATCCACAGAGCTCCTCATGGACAAGAAGACCAATAAGAGGCGTGGCTTCTGCTTTATTACCTTTAAGGAAGAGGAACTGGTGAAGAAGATAATGGAAAAGAAATATCACAATGTTGGTCATAGGAAATGTGAGATAAAAGTATCTATGTCGAAGGAACAATATCAGCACCAGCAACAGTGAGGATCTAGAGGAGGATTTGCAGGAAGAGCTCGTGGAAGTGTTGGTGACCAGCAGAGTGGTTATGGGAAGGTATCCAGGTGAGGTGGTCATCAAAATAGCTACAAACCATACTAAATTATTCCTTTTGCAGTAGAATAATCCCCAGCAGGTGGTGAAGCAGTGTTTTCCAATTTGAAGATTCATTTGACAGTGGCTCCTGCCACCACTAACAGCAGTTCAAGCTAAATTTTTTGTATCAAGTCCCCGAATGGAAGTGTGGCGTTGGGTCCCTCTGAAGTTTAATTCTGAGTTCTCATTAAAAGAAATTTGCTTTCATTGTTTTATTTCTTAATTGCTATGCTTCAGAATCAATTTGTGTTTTATGCCCTTCCCCCCAGTATTGTAGAGCAAGTCTTGTGTTAAAAGCCCAGTGTGACGGTGTCACGATGTAGTCGTGTCTTACTGGTTTTTAATAAATCCTTATATATATATATATAGAACAGAAGACTTCTGTTCTTACCTGGTTCAATACGTTTTTCTCATTCCTTGATATTCCAAACAGGCTGTAATTATCCTCTTTGACATCCCAAGCTAAATCAAAAAAGACCATAAACTATCTAAACATGGGATAAGTAGTGATGCATTTTCAACTTTTCTTTCTTTGATCCCAGGAGACCAAAAATGATTTAAAGTAGTTTTTGTATAATAGAGATATTCATATGCAACTGGCTAAGAATGAAGAAGCAAGGAAAGCAGTCAGATATATGTCCTTGCTACTCCAGGGTGCCCTGCCTCCAAGAGCACAAGTAAGTGGAAGAGGGTCTTGGATTTAATAATTGAGTGTCAGTTCTTCTCACTTGTGAAAGATGGATGTTCTAAGGCTGATGTAAAGGCTGAATGGGATGATCCGTGCACGGCCCCTGGTGTACAGCCTGTCCTACAGCAGGGTGTCCGTAACAGCAACTGCTATCATGACTAGACTAGTATCAAAGTGTAGCGGATGAAGGCGCAGGCTCTAATACAAAGTACTGGGGGCATCCTGTTGCCTTACTTTGTGGCATCTAAATATGGGCAATTGTTTCTAACTTTCTGTGTTTGAGTTCTTTCCTTTGTGAAATGAGGTTAATACATGTCGTTACCCTACAGAGTTCTTTTTTTTTTTTTTTTTTTTGAGACTGAGCTTCACTTTTGTTGCCCAGGCTGGAGTGCAATGGTGTGATCTTGGCTCACTGCAACCTTTGCCTCCTAGGTTAAAGTGATTCTCCTGTCCCAGCCTCCCAAATAGCTGGGACTACAGGCATGCGACACCACAACCAGGTAGTTTTTTATATGTTTAGTAGAGATGGGGTTTCATCGTGTTTCCCAGGCTGGTCTTGAACTCCTGACCTCAGGTGATCCGCCTGCCTCAGCCTCCCAAAGTGCTGGGATTACAGGTATGAGCCACCGCACCCAGCCTAGAGTTCTCAAAAGAACTTATACAGTGTCATACATTTAGTACAGTGCTTGGAAAAAGTAAATACTTTAAAAATGTTAGCTCTTTTTACTGTTTTCGAGTCTTTTTCCTACACTGGGATTCTGGAGTGCTGGTTTCCAGACCACAGGCCTCTTGAGTTGTCTAAGTAACCTTGGGTTCTGCATCTGCTGAAAGAGGCCAGTGGATTAACTGGCCTACAAGGTTTCCACGAGTACTCCTATTGCTCACTGGAGATCAGATCACGTGGTTTTCAGAGGGCAGGCTCACAGGAGCAATGGATTCCCAACAGCAATGATCCTGCTGCTGGGGCCTCCTGTCATGGCTCCTGTCATGCCCCCTTAAGAACCTGGAGCTTTCAAGTTGCTTCTCCTCTCCTTCTCCATCCCCTCCCCCACACCCCCTTCCTACCCTGAAAAGGAACAGTGTATCAGTACATTCCCTGTTTTTGTCTCCATTCTACTTCTGTGCAAAATGTTTTGCAACAAAATCCCCTAAAAAGATTGTGTGAGGAATGTAGGACTCGGGTAGAAGTTATTAACAAGAAGAGGGCGTACATAGAGCCTTCATTATTAGGAAGAAGCACCACTTGAAGGCTGACTTGCTTTTTTATCACAATTCCTGTCTTCCAGTGCTCTAGCCCTTTAGCTTGAGAACCAGCATGCTCAGCCCCCAAGGAGGTAATTAAGAAAAGAAAGACATTTATTCAGCTGAAGAATAGAGAGAGTGGCTGCCAGCCCAGCCTTGGATGGTACACTGGACCCGACACCCTGGAGGACAAGACGTGCCAGCTGCAGCCCCACTGGGAGCGCTCATCCAGCAGCCTTCTTTACAGAAGCCTGCAGTGGGGCTGCCACTGCCCGCCTTGCCATGCAGTGCTGATCACAAATAACAACAGCCCCTCCTGCATCAAAATCCATTTGCGGAAGTCCACAGGCAGCATTAATATTCTCCTCTCACAGGAAAGCAACCTGGGACTCAGAAAAGTTACGTCACTTGCCCAGTACAATAGGTGCATTTTTTTTGCCATTGAATTTTCTGTCCATGGTCACGCGCGCGCACACACACACACAGAAACACACATGCATACTTTTGGGCACAGCAAGAAAACAAGGACTTTTTCAGCTAGTCATGTCTCAGAGGAAGGCAACCGGGCCACACAGGACACAGGCATCTGCTGTTGTTGTCTTAGCAAGTGGCTCCTCTTACTGGGGGAAGTCCTGCCTCATGACTTAGATTTAGGGTTAGGGAGTTACAGAATATGGAAAGTGACAGTAGGGATCATTTCCTTTAGATCTGACTCACATCTTCCACATGGACACTGCCAGCCACAACCTTCCTTTCCTTAGTGTTACAGAGAACCTCACTTCCAACAACCACTTAGCACATTCTTAGGCTCATTGCCCCCTGCCCTCACCAAGGATGCCGGAAGCTCCCTCGTCCCACTCCATGTTGCTGTGAGAAAAAAGGCAAGTGGGGAGTGACACGGGCCCCTTTTGGCTTACTAATGATGGGGACAGTGAGCACAGCATATGCCCAGACAGACCAAGCAGCCAGGGGTGGTGGCTATGTTTAACAGCATCCTGGAATCCTGTAGAATCTTCCAGGAAATGCAGCTCTGGTGATGACTACAGGTCAGGATCTCTAAGCACGTACACATTCATTCACTAAGCATAGACACCCAAGCCCCTGGCTCTCTGTGTTGTTTTCCTATGGAGATACAGTGCCTAGGGCTTTAAAAAGAACTGATGACTTTAAACCACGTCTAAAAATTATTTGGCATGCCTCCCAGCAAGAGCTGGAGCCTAAGACCCCTTTCCTTGAGCGTGGCCTGGTCTTGGTAATTCCTCTCAACTAAATAGAATGTGGTAGCACTGGATGATGTCCAAGGCTGGGTCATAAAAAGAATTACTTCTTCACTTTGGCTCTCTCTTTCTTGTGATGCTTACTCTTGGACCCCAGCTGCCATACCAGGAGGAAGCCATGGCCACACAGGAAGACCCCAGGTGAGCATTCTACCCAGCATCCCCTACCGAGGTGTCATCTCTAGACCTGTGAGCGAGTGAGCCTTTTGGATGGCTCCAGGCCAAACATCATCTGACTTAAACTACTTGAGAGACCCAGAAGAGAACCACTCACTAAACCCAATTAGTCCACAGATCTGTAAGGGATAATAATAAATAATTATTGTTTTCCGAGGCACTGAGTTTGGGGTGTAGGGCTAGAAAAAGGATTGTTTGGGGATCACATGGCTGATGGTGCATGTACTGATTTGTGCACTACTTCTGCTGTAAGGGTATTATTTTGTAGAAATGTAATAACTTTTCTGTAGCTAAGATAGAGTTGGTTAAGGTTGTTTATTCTAGATTTTACTACTGGGGGGATATTGAACCCACAGAGTCAATGGGGGCTCTGTGATGGGTCAGAAACCTTGACTGGGACCTAAACCTTTATACTCTTATTGACTCAGGGTGGCAATGTTTTCTTTGGATCAGAAATCTCTGCCAGGCCACACTGACTAGGGATGTGAGGCTCCATTGCTAGGGTCCCAGATGCCTGCCTGGAGTAGCATGTCACCAGCATGTCCACAGACATAGACTAAAGAGAAAAGCAGTCACTTCCTCACAGTCAGAAAAGATTAAACTCTGGCTCCATCCCTGTCCAACTCTTTCCAGCAAATTCTAAGTGTCCTGAGGAAGGAGTGAGGAGGTGGAGATGAGTCTAGCTCTGTGCAACACTGTGGCCCCAGGATCAGAAATAGCCCTGATTTCCATTATGACACACTACACATTCTGTTGTGGGTCCTTTCATGGAGCCTACATAATTGTGCTTGGAATTTATTTTATCCTAGAAAAATAAAAACATGTCCATAGAAAAAGCCTTATACAAGAATTTTATGTTGTATTTATTCAAAATAGCAGAAATTAGAAAATCACAGGTATCTATCAACAGGAGAGTGAATAAACTGCAGTCTTTTCATAAAATAAAATACTACTTAACTAAAAGGAACAAACTGTGTTCATATGCAACAATGTGAAAGAGTCTCAAAAACATAATACTGAAGAAATGAAACTATACACATAAGACTATGCGGAGTATAATTTTCCATGTGAAATTCTGAAAGAGGAAAGACATTCTTCGTTCTGAAAACATCAAACCATGAAGAACAGCCTTTGTGAAGACAAGGGTGAAGATGGATGTGTGGGGCCAAGGCACCTCCTGGGATGGAGGCATATTCTACATCTTGAAGAGGTTTTGTCTTACATAGGTATGTACATTTTACGATACCTGTGAAATGGTACACTGAAGATCTGTCTATTCCACTTTATATAAATTTTACCTATAGAGACAAGAACCATGAACACATGTAGAGTGCTAGTTAATAACACACATGCTGCAGTATTTGGGATGCTCTGTCAGGATGTCTGAAATGTGCCTTGGAAAGTATTGAAAATAAGATGATTTGATGGATGGGTAGAAATGATTAAAACAAAGAAAGCAAACTACTGATTGTGGAGGGTAGGTGATGAGTCATGCTATGGTATAAATGTATCTCCCAAATTTCATGTGTTAAAAATGGAATCCCCAAATTCCTGTGCTGATTGAAGGTGGGGTGTGGGGGAGATAATTAGAATTAGATAAAGT